ATGTATGTGTGTGTATATGTATGTATGTATGTATGTATGTATGTATGTATGTCTGTCTCACTTGCCATCTTCAGTCTGGTGTTTTCGCCGTGATGATACCTCCCACCTACCAGACATCTGGAAACCAGCCCAAGTCAACAAACGAGCCCCACCTACCACCCAGGCCATTACAACACAAAACAACAACGGACACACAGCCAGCATTAATCAGCACCAATCCACCAATCATGATGCAACCACACAGCCAATCAATCCACTTACTGAAACAAATCCAGCACTACACACACACACCAAGATTTATAGAAAGACGGCAGCTCTGACCACGCTTTACTCACACAAACACGAAGCTGAAAACACCAGCCTGTGTAAATCCACGAAAACGTGTGTGTGTGTGTGTGTGTATGTGTGTGTATGTGTGTGTGTGTGTATTTTCATAGATTTTCACGGGTGTAGATATGCTGGTCTTGTTGTATTCAGGTCTTTTCCCATGTAAGATTGAGATTATCTTGGCAATGTTTCAGCGAGGTCTCACTCGCCATCTTTATATTTATACTTATACTTGTTTTCTCATACATCTTGACAAACATAAATAAATAAATAAATAAAAATAATTTTCATGAGATAGTTCAAAATGAATTATTTGATGTCGTTGCTGAGCCATTTCCTGATCCAGAGTCAAATTCATAAACATCGTCATAGGTTTATTGGCTTTAAAAAGTGCTATCCTTTTACATTCAGTCTTTGATTATCTTTAATGAGATTTGCTTTCCAATCAACATTTTAACAGCATGTCCATGTGCTTGCTCCATTCCCCCACAGTAGAAGTTTTACCCTAAAGGCAGCACTGACATTATTCCTGAACAAAAGGTCACATTTGCAACTTGAAGAGGGCAGTAAGAAAATGAGAAGCATTGCCCTGAACAAAATATATTGTTTCTCCACTACCTGTCAGGGTTTTCTTCTAGCATAAGCATAAAATGAAGCAGTATTATAATTTCAGAGATTAGAATCTTTCAGGACAAGCTGAAGGGCCCAAAATCTGTGATCAAATTCTGAAGATTGCTGTACTATAGTTAATACTAGTAAAATTATTATTTTTATCTATAACCATGCTAGGTTACTAGCTCTGTTTTTCAATCTGCATCTGTGAGAAATAAATAAGACATTACCAAATTACAACCATTACATTCCATGTGTTCTCCAACATGTCTACTGCTTTGTTATATCATAAACTATCCCAAAACAGCTGCATTTATTTTGTAAAGGCAAAATAAAGGTCTTTTGCCAACTTCACCTGCAAGCTGTAGAAGGAGATTATTTTCCTGAAATGAATTCTGAGACTTGAGATGTATGTGTAGAAATGTTGCTGCTAACACATGAAAACTGCTTATAGAACCATTATTGGGTAGCACAGAATGTGGCTGAAATAATAGGAATTTTGTTTTAGATAATCTGTCACACATGCAAAGGATTAAACTCTATTTCTTTGTAGTTTATTTTGTGGCATGGTCACATGAATGTCAATTCAGCATTTATGTATGTATTAATTCTGAAATGGTCCAAGGCACAATCTGAATTTAGAAATAAAAATAGATCAATTATATTTGTAGTAGCCTCTGGGTCAGTTTTATCATGTTTTATATGAACCTCAGTATGGAGATGAGGAGAGCATTGAAAGCTACCTTTTTCTAGTGAATTTAATGTTCTCAAAAAGAATAATATTATTCACACAGGGAAATGAATTTGTGTAGCTATAAACAGCGCATTGTGAATAAAAATAAGTTTGAAGAACTCAAATAATAAAGAAATTACCATTGCTGTAAATTTATTGCATGGAATTCATTCATGTGTAGCCCTAGTTGATCATTAAGTCCAAATGTCTCAAGAGGTCATTTCAATTTCGTTGCATTTTATTGTTGCAACTCATAAGTTGTGACATAATATGGATTCACGAAGTGTGCAATAAAAATAGTAAAGTATAATTAATAAACAAAAATTAAAATTACATAAAATCAATTTTAATTAATAGCCATTAAAAAACACAAGAACAAAATTTAATTGTATAATGGAGGAGGTATTTATGATTCTCAGCTGCCTGAAGAAGTCAATTTGTATCTGTGAGAGAACTTTTGTCTCCTTGGCAATGACATCAGTGACATGAATGATTCATCACCAATATAAAGTGACTTATTTTATGAAAGTAGCCACTGACCTTTTATCACAGACATTGCCATGATCCAGATCATAACTGTTGTTTGTTTGCATGGACCCATTAGGAACCAGTTGGTACTTGTAAAATGTGTATGAGCTCGACACATTTTAAATATAACGGTGGGATAAAAATTAACATGGCAAAGATGATCCATTGGCCATTTTGTGCATTTCTTATGATGGACTCAACTTCTTTTCATCTTTATCATAAACTTGTACTGAATTTTCTTACTCTGTGTAAAAGAGGAAGAAATAACAAAATATCTGTGAAAATAGAGAACACAGCTTGACACAATCCTAACAACAGATATCTAGGAGTGATTAAGAAAAAGTTGATTTCCCTCATCTTGTATCTAGGTTGTTCATAGACCTTTTAGTGTAGCAACTAGTGTTTAAAAATATCTTACATTGATTAGATTAGTGTATGTGTGCAGAGAGGGATGTGATCTCTGTGTTGAGTTGATCCCTAATCAAATTGATCTACTGTTAATCTTCCAATAGGTAGGCAATATTGTGCAGTTTCACTGCAGAAAAGGCTACCTGCTTCAAGGGTCTACAACTCGAACCTGCCTTCCTGACCTTACATGGAGTGGGATCCAACCTGAATGCATTGGTAAGTCAAGAACAGAAAAAAGAGTCAGATATAGAATGGAAAAATAATATTATTGTGATGCAAATTGAGATTCGCAAGAATAGTATCTTATTTGTGTTGTCATTCTCCAAACACACTAAATATTTACAGGTTTATATATGAGGAGAGTTTACAGAAAATATGTGTTTTAATGGAAAGGAATGAAAAAGGACTATCTGTATTAAGAAAACACCAATTTAAATGCTGATTTTGTGCTGTTTTTGTTTTTTTTAAGTTTTAAACTAATATTGAGACAGAGTGAACTAATGTTAAAAAAAGTAGAAACCAACATTAGTATTTTCTGAATGTTTGTAGCTCAGGGTTGAACTGTGAGGTTCTTGGCACTTTCTAAGCTTGGTGGTTTTCTTGCAGACATTTCATTACCAAACTAGGTAACATGTGCTATCATGAATGAAACATCTTCAGGAAAATCACTAAGTCTGATAACACACTATACCCTGCATTAATGTATTCACTAATCTATACAGAAGAGAATCAGCCTACAGCCTGGGATTCTTCGATATTATCTTATCAAAGTAGTCCCCTATGGAATTCTGCTTAACTTCCTAACCCACATACAACAAACTACATACTGCCACATAATGCATATATTTAAAACAATGACATCAGTACTCTTATTTATCTAGCAGTTTTAACAGTCCTTACACTGTCAATCTGGACTTTCATATCACTCCATAGTGTCTTTTCTGGGTGTTTCTGGAGTCCCCCTTTCCCATGTATTGGTAATATTTCACTATCTTAAGGTCAGAAATGCAACTGGCATGCATTTTTAATGTTTGATGTGTCCCAAAATCATATGATTATCTTTTGCTTTCTTCTGAGAAGCAAAGTCAATGGGGAAGCCAGATTCACTTAACAACCGTATTACTAACTTAACAACTGCAGTGATTCACTTAACAACTGTGTCAAGGAAGGTTGCAAAATGTACAAAGCTCACTTAACAACTGTCTTCCTCAGCAAATGAAATTTGGGGATCAGTTGTGATTGTCAGTCAAGAACTACCTGTACTTAGAACTACCTGTACTTAACATATACCCCCCAAAAATCTCTCTTCTTAAAGCACTGAAAAGCATTTCATATTTCACCACCCTGCTCTCATTTCAAAGTTTGCTCCAAAATTCCCAATTAGCTGACCCCCACCCTCCAAAAAAGGGTGAAAAAAAATGACCAAGACCAATTTAAAATATAATGAAAAATAGAGACAAGCAGGACAGAGCGTTTTAAAGGAATATTTTAAAAACCCATAATATCATGTTTTAAAATAGCTATCTGTCCGTCTTGGCTTGATCCACTAAAAATGTTTTTCTGCTCATCTTGTTTCAATTATACCTGTTGCCACCTTACAAATGTGTATGATGTGTTATCCATTTATTCCATTTGAACACATACAGCACTATCAAGCATAAACATTTACAATTATGGTCCAGGCTATGTAATTCATGATAAAAACCGGTGCAAAGATTTCCCAGTTAAAATGCAGTGATATGCTCTTCGTCTTCCACATTGTCTCTAGTATTCAAATAGAACATATGGGGAACATATGGGATCTAATCCACTTTCTCTACTGTCAACGCAACCACAGTACTTAACCGCTCCCAGGCATGGTTTGACATAAATTGAGGAGTTAATAAAAGTGTGGAGTTATTAAAGACCTTCTCACACATTTCAGAGCAATTTGAGCAATGATCATTACTTGTAGTTGAAGGATACGCCATTGAGTGTCATGCATAACACGAATTGTGCATTTTTGTTTTAGCTCACAGCTGCAAGCAGCCCGAATCTCCAGCTCACACAAATGTGGCAGGAATGGATCTTCCATCTCTCGGTTATACCTTGATATATACATGCCAACCCGGATTCTTTCTAGCAGGAGGATCAGAACATAGAGTCTGTAGATCTGATGGCACATGGACAGGGAAGGTTCCTTTCTGTGAAGGTAATGTATTGCACATCTTCCCTCTTCGTGGAAGAATTAATATTTCAAAGTTGCCAATTCCTTTGTTTCTTTTCATCCACATTTCCTTCCAAAATTAAGCATGTGGAAACTGCATTTTGCCCTTTAACCCAACTGAAGGTAGACTTTAGACACCTACCTGATGTAAAAGAAGTTATTTATTTTATATTCTATTCACATAGAAATATCTATCCACTCTTGTAAGTGTGCTGTATTCAGAGCGAATAGAATGGAATGAAATAGAATAGAATAGAATAGAATAGAATAGAATAGAATAGAATAGAATAGAATAGAATAGAATAGAATAGAATAGAATAGAATAGAATAGAATTCTTTATTGGCCAAATGTGATTGGCTACACAAGGAATTTGTCTCTAGTGCACAAGCTCTCAGTACATACAAGCAACAAGTGATAGCATGATCTTAATCATAAAATATAATCATAAATCATAAGACAAACTCAATAGCAGAGGTGAATTCCTACCGGTTCGGACTGGTTCGGCTGAGTAGGTAGTAACTCAGCTGGACATGCACCTTAACCGGTTCTATCCTTGGCGGCACCATCTTGATTTTCTGTTCTGCACATGGGCAGAACAATCTTCATTGAAAAAAAAGGAAGAAATTCCTTTTCTAATGTGCACATGCGCAGATCTTTTTAGGTGGAAATGTGTATGCACATTTTTTGCATGCCGAACCGGTAGTAATGCCAGCAGAAACCCACCCCTGAGTCATAGGATACTAAATAAGCAAACAACATAAATCATAGGATACTAAATAAAAACAATCAACATAAATCATGAGATACAAACAACAAAGTTATAGTCATCAGAAGCTAAGAAAATGGGTAATAGGAAAGATGAAAAGGATGACAGCTAATACAGCCCTACTAGGTGGTTTGACTTTCCCAGGGCATAAGACAGCATTGTGAGAATTAGTTGTTTAGCAGAATGATAGCGGGGGACTGACTTTGTGTCTGGTTGTTTTGACATGCAATGCCCTATGGTGTCATCTTGAAGGAAGAAGTTGAAACTGTTTATGTCCGGGATGTAAGGGGTCTGTAGATATTTTCGCAGCCCTCTTTCTGGTCCGTGCAGTATACAGGCTGGTTGCAAATGTTTTTTCTGCAGTCCTAACTATACGTTGAAGTCTGTATCTGTCTTGTTTTGTTGCTGTGTCAAACCAGGCAGTGATAGAGGTATAAGTGACAGACTCAATAATTTCTTTGTAGAACTGTATCAGCAGCTCCTGGGGCAGTCTGAGCTTTCTGAGCTGGCACAGGAAGAACATTGGCATAGAAATAGGAAAGACTGTATACTGCACTCATGAGAGATTTATCATTTTCTTTTCTTCTCACCTTTTTAATATTATTATCCTTTCCAACTACCCAGGTTATTTGATGTGTTTAATTCTATTTGCAGAATTTCAGTTCAGTTATGCATACAAACACTTGGGAGGAAATTGTGAAGAAAACTCCATGGGTGGTTTTTTTCTTCTTCATACATTAGTACAGAGGATTATGAATCTGTTCCAGATTTCCAGCACAACAGAAAAGACACAAAAGGCTGTTATTTCCGAATGGAAAGGTCATGAGAGTGTAGGGGGAAAAGCAGTATGTTTCTCTGTCTTCTTTTGTTGCTGATGAATAGATTTCAGAGAAAAGTGACTTCGCTGGTGATATAAAAGAATAAAAAAATTACCTTTATCTTTTTCACCACCATCAAAAACAGGATGGCAAGGATGTATGTGACAGCTGTTTGGTCAGACTTTAAACTGAGAAGGGATTATTATTATTATTATTATTATTATTATTATTATTATTATTATTATTATTATTATTATTCTTTGGTTAATCTTTGGTGAGATTCACAGCCTTTGGGGGTGGTTGGTAGCTCAACAGCTCGAGTCCTAACCAAATACACATGCATACATACAGTGGGGCAAAAAAGTATTTAGTCAGCCACCAAGTGTGCAAGTCCTCCCACTTAAAAAATGAGAGAGGCCTGTAATTGACATCATAGGTAGACCTCAACTATGAGAGACAAAATGAGAAAACAAAACCAGACAATCACATTGTCTGGTTTGGAAGAATTTTTTTGCAAATTATGGTGAAAAATAAGTATTTGGTTAATATCAAAAGTTCATCTCAATACTTTGTTATATATCCTTTGTTGGTAATGACAGAGGTCAAACGTTTTCTGTAAGTCTTCACAAGGTTGACACACACTGTTGCTGGTATGTTGGCCCATTCCTCCATCAGATCTCCTCTAGAACACTATATGTATATGTATATGCTGGTCTTGTTGTATTCGGGTCTTTTCCTGTGTAAGATTGAGATTGTCTTGGCAACGTTTTGGTGAGGTCTCATTCACCATCCTCAGACTGGTGTTTTTGGCTTAAAGCTGAAATATATATATTTCCCAGATTGGGACCCAATAGAAAGTTCACCACCCAATAGAAAGTTTAATATCTAATTTTGAAGGCTCTAATCTGTGTGATTCTTTGGTCCTAATATGCTGTGAGCAAAATAAATAAATAACTAAAAGCTTTAAGCAGATTTTCTTCCCATCTATCTCTAGTCATCACAGACCAAAATGAAAGGTCTCTGTTGTTAGAGAAACAATCACATTGGGTATTATGCAAAAACATTATTTGTGTAAAATATCATTTATAGATACATGCAGTTCACAATTTGAAGAAATCTGAAAATCTGTTTCCAACTAAGTAGCCTAGAATTCCACACAGAATAGAATATAATTCTTTATTGGCCAAGTATGTTTGGACACACAAGGAATTTGTCTTTGGTGCATGGGATTTCATAGAGTTTATAGATTGATTCTTTCCACTACAGGTAGACTTAATGTGTATTCAGTTTAGCTTCTCACATTTTAGCAAATGCAAATCAGTTTAGGGTTGTTATATTGGTATTTGGGAATCCATTTCTGAAACCAAAGGAATGGACAGATAAAAGACCACTTAGCCCACAGCAGGAATGTGGGTAGGACAAGCAGTTCAGAAGGGAAACTCTAAAGTTTTTTGAGACGTGTAAAGCAGAAAGGGGAGGAAATGTTCTTTCAGACTTGCAAAAAAATCTATGAATGTAGCTTTACTATACAGTCAAATTAGGTCCTGTGGCTGTGTTTCCTCGCTGGTTTGCCTCGTGAGACTGACAGTTGTATAATTCACTTTTATTCATTTAACACATCTCTACGCTGCCCATTTCACCTGAATGATTCTAGTGATTTACAAATAAAAAGATACCTGATTAAAAGCAGTTAATGCTTCAGGTTCGAAGTCCCTCTGCCAAATGGAATCTGAAACACCGAACAATCAAAATTATACAAACAGCTCTCAAAGGGAACAAGAGTAATACACAGAATAGCTGCAAAAGAATTGTGATACTTAGAAAGAGCAATGTAGATGCAGCACTTTAAAAATCAAATTTTGATTTCATACTCTACTAATGTAATCATGATTCATAATGATGAAAAGAATTGTGTTATCTCTTTTGTAGGGTCATTATTATAGTACATACTGTTAATTTGAATTCTTTTCATATGCAGTACAAAGGAACTTCAAATATCTTTGTGGCATTAGCTGCACTGATTTTTGTCTTTTGAGTATCTTAGCCAATACTATGTTTAATAAATGTTAAAAGGTTCTGTGTCACAATGGTTTAATGTTATTATGAATGAGTGCCCTGAATTTAAGCAATCTACATGTTCTTACTTTTATCAACAGCTGGTTCTAAAATTTTGGTGAAAGATCCTAGACCTGCTTTGGGAACACCAAGCCCCAAATTAAATGGTGAGTACCTTTTATTCTAACTATAAGTAGTCCTTGTTTAACGACCACTCATTCAGCAACTTGTCAAAGGTATGATGGTGCTGAACCCAGGAGCACATAAGATCAGTTCTCAAAGTTTTGGCCATCTCAGCACCCCCACAATCACATGGTCATGAACTGGGCACTAGGTAACCGCCTATGCTTATGCCAGTTATAGTGTGTCACACAATCATGTATATTTTAATTGCAACATTTCCCGCTGGTTTCCCAAATGCAAAGTCAATGGGAAAACTAGAAGGAAAGCTCAAGGTTGTTCCAGTAAGTTGTTCACATTTTCCTCAACTTGCAGCAATCCTTGCCATGCCTGTGCTGCATATCGCTGGCCACCTGTGTACCTCTTCCACCCAGCAGCAGACATCTACCTGCCATCCAGATGCTTACGAGCCATCAAGGACTTATTTAACAACCAGCTGGGGAGTGCCAGGATTTCTATCACTAAGTGATGCTGCCATGTGATATCACATTTAGCAATGGACATTCCACACCCAATGAGCATTATTAATGGAGGACTGCTTGTACTGCAGCTAACAAGTTTTTAAAATTGCTATCAACAGTTACATAAATGGTCACAAGGTGTTAACTATTCATAATGCCAATGCATCCAACAGTTTTTAATTCCAAATAAATGAGTAAATGTATTTCAATTGTTGATGCACCTTGATTATAAAATTATCTTGAGAAAAGAATAAGGAATACAATTCACTAAAAGAATGATACAGTTTTGGAATAATTGTATAATTTTCCAATGTGCAAATACTATACAGCAGTATAATCCAGCAAAATATCCATTTGGTTTCTGTTTCAACCAAAACAGAATCTGTTTTAATCCAGTGAGTTGAGCAGAATTGCTTTGTATGGGTTATAAACTCACTTTTCAATGCCTTAAAAAACCCAGTCCTTTTAAAAAATAGTAAGCTCCACTGAAAAGAGAGACTGTACTATTTTAGTGTTTTTCTTATGGTAAATCTAGAATTGATTTTTTGGGGGGTATTTCAGATAATAATCTCTCACTGACAAGCATCTCCCCACAATAAAATAAAGTGAAAATTGGGTTTTTAGAAGCTTCACATAATGGTTTATGTAAATGTAGCTTTTGCTTTCTTCTTACAGACCATTTAATTCTTTTTTTCCAGCCTGAATTCAAATGACATTTTACTGTTTTCACCCACTTATATGAACTGATGCATGGTCTTACTATACATATTTAAAGACCTAGGCATTGTGGAACACAGTTTTCTATCAGGTGCATTTTTATACATTTGTGGGAGATGAGGCATGGCTTTTTACTATTGTAGTGTACATTTTAAGTATTTTTTTTTCTGGAAATATATCTTTATCAGGCTTCTGCTAAAACAGATCAATGAAGAAAATGTCTCCCTTTTCAAAGATGAACATATCTTTGGCATACTTTCATATGTGATAAACAATATCTATATTTCTGTGTATTTCCTGTATGCCTCTGATTATAACTAAATGTCCATGTTATGATTTTTATTTGTACCCCATTGAAATGTCTGATTGGCTTAACATCCAACTATAAATATAATCAGATGATTTGTCATACTTCATTAATGGGTTAATTTTGTCTCATGTCTTTTGACATTGAAAAGAGTAGCCATTCAGACCAGAGCATTCTGAGAGCTAAGTTAAATTTGCTAATAGATTTTGTTTCCTTACATTTTTCTCAGGGCTAGCCTAAAAATAACCATTCCTTTCATCCTTAGTGATGAGCAAATTAATCTTTTGTGCTTGCTATTTCATCTAAAACTGTGCAGCTCATAAGTCTTGTCTATCTTGTTTACACACGCATTTGCAATTTTACACTTTCTTGTATATTTCTGTTTTGATATATCTTTTAATAATATTTCCTTTTAAAATATATTTTCAATTTTTTTCAGTGATCATTTGCAACAATTTATATTTTATACACATATATAAATTCAAAACTGTTTATATTCCTGTCTGCACATTAACCTAGAAAATTATTCTGATCAATTGGTAAAGGTAAAGGTTCCCCCGCATGTGCGTGCTAGTCGTTTCTGGCTCTAGGGGTGGTGCTCATTTCCATTTCTAAGGTGAAGACCTAGTGGTGTTCGAAGATGTCTCTGTGGTCATGTGGCCACCATGACTCAATGCCAAAGGTGCATGGAGCGCTATTACCTTACTACCAAAGTGGTTCCTATTTTTCTACTTGCATTTTTACATGGTTTCAAACTGCTAGGTTGGCAGCAGCTGGGACAAGTAATGGGAACTTACTCCGTTAAGCAACACTAGGAATTCGAATCGCTGAATGGCCGACCTTCTGATCAACAAACTCAGTGTCTTAGCCACTCAGCCACCACATCCCAATCAATCTATACTTAAATTACAAAGTTCAGATTCCTCAGTAGATATGAAAAGGTACCAATAGAAGAGAATATTTGTAGTTCATGGTTGAACTGAAGATTAACAGCAGAGATCATAACACAATGCCTGGAATATATAGCACTTCCTTGCATGCAGCCCCAAATATGGATCTGATAACACCTTTGTCATAATAAAAATGGACCAGCTAGACACAAAATCATCAGCAATATCTTTTAAGGAGTATAATGTACTAGGGAGGAAGAAAACAATACACTATTCTTCCTGGATATCCTCATCAGCAAATTTGCAATGGTGGCAAATTTATTGTAAAACCAACCACACCAACCAAATAATCTATTACCAAAGCAACAATCCAACCTCCCATAAGAGAAGCTATGTAAGAACGTAATATAGATGAGCACAAACACTGTAGCAACCTTGAACATCAGAAAAAAGGAAATAGATCATCTACAAAACATCTTCCAACAAATGGCTTTCCACACAACTTCATCAATAATAAGCAAGTTCAGAGAGCACTAAGGACCCCACAGATACAAGCAGTCATACCTAAAAATAAATCCCTGTGAACACATCATGTATTACTTGGGATACATATTTATCTAATATGAAAGACTATATATTTAATATTTTGACAGTACTGAAAAGTCCCCTTTTGATTATTTTCAATAAGTTTTTCATACCAGTTGTATAATAATGGGATTATATTTCCAGCAACTTTATGGAAAACTAACAAAGCAAAAAAACACACCATAATAGTCATTTTTAGCAATCACAGTTGGTACCAGAAACTCAGCTACTAAGTCAAGTAGTTGCTAAGTGGGAAATCACATGAACATAAATGTGCTTTCCAACACAACCAAGCATAGTCAGTTAACAGAATAACAGAGTTGGAAGAGACCTTGGAGGTCTTCTAGCTCAACCCTCTGCTTAGGCAGGAAACCCTATACCGTTTCAGACAAATGGCTATCCAACATCTTCTTAAAAACATCCAGTGTTGGGGCATTCACAACTTCTGGAGGCAAGCTGTTCCACTGATTAATTGTTCTAACTGTCAGGAAATTTCTCCTCAGTTCTAGGTTGCTTCTCTCCTTGATTAGTTTCCACCCATTGCTTCTTGTTCTGCCCTCAGGTGCTTTGGAGAATAGTTTCACTCCCTCTTCTTTGTGGCAATCTCTGAGATATTGGAACACTGCTATCATGTCTCCCCTAGTCCTTCTTTTCATTAAACTAGACATACCCAGACATACCCAGAAACCTTTTTTTTTCATTTTTACAAATGTGTTAACATATTTGGCATTTCTTTGCCTCCTAATTACTTCTCCATTCTTTCTAATGTTCATTCTTAAACATTATTTTTTTTTAATATGGTAAGGTTCCTTTCCCTTTGACATTAAGTTGGTATCTCTTTTCCTGTAACTTAAACCCATTATTTCATGTTCTCTCCAAGGTAGAACAGCTCTTGACTTCCTTCTTTGTGTCATTTTTTTGAAGTATTTGAAAAATGCTATCATATCCCCTTTTGGGTATCCTTTTATACGGATGAGCATGAAAGAAATTTATCAAACTCATTTGTGTACGGGAAGAAATAGGTGGATAATTCTTGGCAGCTAAAGCTTAAATCAATTTCATCCTAGGATTTTCCTCTATGCACGCAAGAAAGTTTCACCACTTTTATTTATTATCTAGCCAAAGTTGAGCGGCTTTTGAACCTATTATCCATATACCTAAATTACTCAGTGAAATCATTGGAACCTTTAAGTACATAATATTGGCAAGATTATTATTCTTGCTTTGTTCTAATGAGGATTTACTGTTGTTTTGGGTATTACTTATACATTTCAGTGTACAGTTGGCAATGTCAGTATCATTCAATTTGATGAATTAAGTACTTTTAAAGTCTAATGCAATGGTCTACCACTTAGCTAGCAATTTTGGTCCAAGTGTTGATCTTTAATAAGATTGGGTACTAAATATAGAAATAAACAGATACGGGAACTCAACAGAAGTAATATTCTGGGCAAGTACCTGGCACTGCTGTTAGTTACATGAAGTTTTATTCCATGTCAGTAGATTAGTGTAAACATTTTGTTTCTTCAGGTTAGCTAATCTGAATCAATCCCAAGTGTATAAGGTAGGATATATGTGCCAGAGAAAATGCTGGCAATACTGGGTGAAAATGCTGGGTGTACAAACCATTTCAAATTTGAAACAGGTTGTTTCAACTACTCTGGAAATATTTTGAATCTGAAACAGCTACAACCTGAGCTCATATTACTTCTGAAACGAACAGAACAACTTGTTCCAGAGTCAGACAAGTGTTCCAAACTTGAAATATTTTGAACATAAAACATTTTGTATGCTTCCTCCTGAAAATACAGTTTTGCATTTTTAATATTGGCACGGATTCTTTTTTCATCCTGGCTCCTTAGCTAATGCTTTCCCAGCATCTCAGCTGGTTATCATGGTATCTCAATGTATTGATGTTCTTTTTAAACAGAAGGGAAGACTTTCTTTGCTACAACTGTTCACAAAAACTGGCTTAAAAATGTTGCAGTGAAAATAAATTCAAGTAATGACAAAGAAGGGGACAGAAG